GCAGCCCCATGTCAAGGGAACTGGAGTGGACAGAGGGGCAGCCTGTGTGTCAGTGGGGATGGGAGTGGACGGAGGGGGAGCCCGAGTGTCGGGGGAACAGGAGTGGACGGAGGGGCAGCCCCATGTCAAGGGGACTGGAGTGGACGGAGGGGCAGCCTGGGTGTCAGTGGGGACTTGAGTGGACAGAGCAGGTGTTAGCGGGGACTGGAGCAGATGGAGGGGCCAGCAGAAAGAAGTTTGCTGCTGAAACTCACAGATGAAGCTCACTATTCAAGGTCACCATCCATGGTGGGTACGAGGACCCACACCCGTGTCAAAGGACAGCAGGTCCACAGAGGCTGAGAGACAAGGCTCGGCCACTTACCGATCGTGTAGCAAGAGGGGGTGAGCACTCTGGAGCCAAAGTACGTCCTTGCTCCCAGAAGCTGGATGAGACCACTTATGACAGACTTGTACAGCTGGAAGTCCAGAGGGGTCTCTACGGAGCAGCACGGCGTGAAGAATGACTTCACCTGGTACTTGGGGAGCAGCTTGGGGCCCTAGTCGTGTAGGTGTGACAAAGGACAACACAGCAGGGGTGTGAGTGAGGCAGCGTTGGCTGGGCACACGGGTCTGGCACAAACAACTGCACGGGCTTGACGCGCTCCCAGGACTCAGGGCAGACTTCCTCCTACAGACGCTAATGCAGGCGATTCTCCTAACGCAAGTGGAATAGTTCAAAACCTCCCTAAGCATATTTTTAAAGTTGTTGTTGACTGCCTTCAAGTCGAGCATGACTCATAGCGACCCTAAGAACAAAAGGCCTGAAGCCCCTCTACAACCATCGACATTTCTCCAAGTTCATAGAGTTTCCGGAGGTATGTTGTTTAGGAAGTGGACGCCACTCCTGCTTCCAAACTCATTGCTGTGGAGTTGGACCCACTCCGAGCTGACCTCCGGCGGCTGCTCTGAGGCCCGAGCTGACCTCGTGCATGTGCTCTGAGGCACCTGCTCACCTTTCTCCCTTGGAACAGCTGATGGATTTGAACCGCCTGCCTGGAGGTAACCCAAACCCTTACTACTGAAGTCACCGGCAAAAACTAAGGCCCCCAAATTGATGGGACGCCAACTGACACTTTTCAACACACAAATGCGGCCCTGGACGTGCACACGAGATACCAAGAGATCTGGAGGCGATCTACAGCTGTTCTGTTCTCATTATGAAAAGGGGTGACCCAACAGAATGTGGAAATGATTGAACAATTTCAATAATATCACATGCAAATAAAATCTAGCTGAAGAGAATGAAAATTGGCTAGAATGACACACTGACAGAGAACTGCCAGAAATTCAAGCTGGATACAGAGGGAGTCGTGACACCGGAGCCCCTTGTTGATGTCAGATGGATCTTGGCTGAAAGCTGAGATTACCAGATGGATACCGATTTTACTGGCTGTGCAAAGGCACGGACTGTGTGGGTCCCCCAAATTATGGTGAACATTAAAAGGAATGTGAGTCCTAGAACACTTAACTGTGCTCATGTATAACCTGGACCAAGAAGTCGTACACAGCACTGAACAATGGAACAGTAAAACATTGTAACATGGGGAGCCTGCAGGACATTATGCTGAATGAAATATCTCAGCCACAGAAGGACGAATACTGCATAGACCACTGTTCTAAAACAGGACTGGCATGGGGGACTGGGGAGGGAATAGGAAAAGAGTGGAGATACAATGAACATTGGGACAGATGAGGGGGGGACTGTGTGAGAGGAATATATCATCAGGCATTATATGTTTGCCAACAATCTGGAACAAGGCATGGGTCACAAAGTGGGCTGGGGAGGGTGCGGAGGGGGAAGGGAGGCAGAGGGAAGAAAATGTGCAACGATGAATGAATTTAAAAAAAAAACAGGAAGCGAGCTGGTGGGGAGGGGTGGGCAGGGAGAAAATTGCGGTAATGAATGAATGGAAATCCAAAACCTCTGTAAAAAAAAAAATTAAAAAAAACCCCAAAAAACCCCAAAAGTGGTTGTCCGAACAGAGTAAGGAAACGCTGTATGGCTGAAAAACAAGGGTGTATGTCGATGCTGATCTTTCGTCCAGACCGACTCACTCTATGTGCTCTACAACCATTTGGGAAGGAGGACTTTAGGAAGAACGGGGCATGAGGATCAAAGGCTCATCAACAACCTGCCTTACACAGGTGACACAGGCCTGCTTGCCAAGAGTGGAGAGGGCTTGAAGGGCCTGCTGCTGCAGATTAAAGCCTACGGCCTTCAGTGCGCATTCCGTTTCCACAGCAAGCAAGCAAAGACCTTGACCACCAAGGATAAGCACCATCGTGACAGGTGGAGAAAAGACTGGAAAAGTCAATGCTTTCATCTTAGCTGGATTCACAGTCACTACTCTGGGGACCTGCAGCCAGAGATTGAAGGATGTACTCCACTGTTGGGAAAATCTGAGGTCAAGGACCTCTCCACCGTACTAAGGAGCCGTTTAAAGACTAAACATGCACAATCCAATCCAAGGCCTTTCAGCCACTGGCTCAGCATCTGAAGTTCTGACAATGACCAAGGATGAGAGAAGAGTCAAGGCCTCTGTGCTGTGATGTTGGAGAAGTCAAACATGGAGCGTCAGGAGACTAGAGAATGATGTCGCCGTGAAGTGCAGCCTGCGTACGCCTCGGAGGCGAGGATGATGGACTAGCCTCACATACTCCAGGCGTGTAGTAAGGAGAGGCCAGTCCTTGCGGGGGACATCATCCTGGGTCAGGTGAAGGGTCATTGGAAGACAGGAAGATCTTCAACAAGCTGGACTGACACGATGACTGACAACAGGCTCAAGTGTACTGAGATTGCGAGGACAGCACAGGGCAGGCCACGACGGGATGTGGCTGACTTGAGGGCACCTACAACGCTTCCCCTCCTATACAGCAAGCACTGGAAGGTGACATGCAGCTACCAGGTGGAAGGGTCAGGCTCTGAGCTGCGCTGCTGACTGAGAGCTGTGAGAGAAGCCTGCCCATACTGAGAAGGGAAGCCTGACTGTAGAGATGAGGGAAGCCTGACTGTAGAGACGAGGGAAGCCTGACTGT